TTGATGATTGTCCCACGGCGGCTCAGTTTCCGCCGTTTATCCAAGAACAGGTTCAGGCAGCCCAGAGTTTCTCGAGACCTAATAATGACTAATTCTCAAATACTTACAACCCTAAGTGGAGAAATCACCCTAACTTTTCTTGGAGGACATATCAACCTAACACACAGTCCCATCATTACCACCCATCTAACTCCATGGCCCAGCAATTTCAAAGGCCACAAGTGCAGAGTCAATTCCAGCAGATCTACCTTAGGAACCAACCGACCCAACCTTATTACGTTTACCCACAACCTCTTTAGACCCGTATAGTTGATGACCAATTCATGTAGCTTCAGCAGCTGATCCTAACTCAGCAGTAGTCCATCGCCAGATTAGAGAGCCAAATAGGACAGCTAGCCGAAGGCAATGCAAGGAGAGAAGTAGGGAAACTACCGAGTCAACCAGTTGCAAATCTTAGAAATCAGCCACTGGGTTTTCCTCCACAAATTCAACCACCTCCTAAGAACCCTCAATTTGAAAATGCCAAAGTTGTTATAACCTTAAGGAGTGGGAGGATTTTAGAAGACCTGTATGAGAAAAAAAGAGTTAGCGAAGAAGAAAAAGAGTAAGAAGACCCTAAGTTAGGGGGGGGGGAAGAAAAAGGAAAGGAAAATTTAGAAGAAGAGCCTATAGTAAACCGGCCTATAGTTCCCTTTCCAACCACACTCACAGCCAGGCCATTGTGAAAGAAGAAAGAGACTCGCAATGAGGAGATTAGGGAGTTATTCAAGCAAGTCCATATTAACATCCCTCTCCTCGACGCAATTCAATATGTCCCAGCCTACGCCAAGTTCTTGAAAGAGCTATGCTCTCAAAAGAGGGAGCCACGATCGGCCCTACAAAAAGTTATGCTCTTGGCAGATGTTAGTGTGGTTCTCTTAAACCAACTTCCTCAGAAAATGAAAGACCCTGGTGCTCCTCTCATAAGCTGTGTCATATCTGGAATCACTTTCGATCGGGCCCTATTTGATCTTGGGGCCAGTGTAAATCTACTTCCCTCAATTATTTATGAAAGGTTTAGGATCGATGAGTTAAAACCTACCCCGTTAATTCTGCAACTCGTTGATCGGTCAGTCAAGACTCTTTGAGGTGTTATTGAGGACGTCATTTTCAAGATAGAGAATTATTACTTCCTAGTAGATTTTTTCGTCCTAGACATGACCCCAACCGAGGAACTGAACCATAACCCGATAATCTTAGGACGTTCGTTTCTAGCAATGACCAATGCAACATTAACTGTAAATTGGGAGAAATGAACATTTCATTTGGGAAGTAGAAAGTTCAATTAAATGTATTTAGTGCCACTAATTATCCAAACCTAGGGGAAGATGAATTCAAGGTAGATGTAGTGGACGATCTTTTAGATGCCCTATCTACCCCTTGCTTAGCCCAATCTGAACCCTATCTATGGGAAGAAGAAAGTGAGTTTGAGAGTATAGATGAGAGAAGTGTGTGAATGTGTATGGCTGAAGACATTAAACTTAGCGCTGGTTGGGAGGCAACCCAACGTAGTTTCCAGTTGTTTGTAGGATTAGAGTTTTTGTTTCTTGATTCGAGACCAATTGGCAGACCTTGAATCCCTTGGGAAAACCCTCTTGATTGTTCTCTTTGGCCCAAGTTCCTTTGCATCAATCTAGTCATGCCATTGGGGACAATGGCACTTAAGTTGGGGGTGAGGAAAGAGAGAGAAAAAAAAAATTGAAGCTAAGCCTTTAGAAATGCAGAACTAAAAATTTCATTGAAAATTTTCAAAATTCTTTCCATTAAAAGAGATTCCTAAACAAAAAAAAAAGTTGAGAAAATTGATAGGAGTCAAAATTGAAAATATTTGAACATTAAAAGAGATTCCTAAACAAAAAAAAAGTTGAGAAAATTTATAGGAGTCAAAATTGGTCTTATTTGAACATTGTCGAAACCATTTAGAAATTGGAAAATACTCCAAAGTTTGCCCCTGTAAAGATAATAAGCGAAAGATTGAAAAATTAGACAAAAAAAAATCTTCAAATTGTGAGAGACAGTGGACTACCCTAAACAGTGTTTAAAAAAAAAGAGAGAGAGAGAATAAAAGGTCAATGGAAACCCTAGACTTGGTAACTGGGTTTCTTCACCTAAGTGTCGAGATTCGCGTCAATCAGGAAAGAGAATGTCAAAGACAATCACCTAACACTTAGTAACCAGCTCTCTTCACCTAAGGCAAGTGTCGAGATTCGTGTCAAACGGTGGAAGGTAGAAATAAAAATAAGTGTGCATATCAAGTTCAGGGGTAGAAATCCACTGTTAGAAATGATAAGAAGAATACCCACCTGATTTTAAAAATCAATCTCAACTTATCGAAACAGTTTGCAAATGGAAGGGTATATAAGATTTTGAAGCCAAGTTTCTGTAGTATTCAAAGCAAGACAGTTTTACCCCTTAAGCCTAATACAGATCTATACAAAGTTTGAGAATTCTGAAATCAGGATATTTGGCTAATTTTGTCAAGGATGATCTTGCAATGAGAATGATTTCTTTACTTAGTGTAATTTTAAGGCTGCATTGCTAATGAACTAACAATGGTTAAGTTGGGGGCTATGATAACTCTGTAGTTTGATGCCTAAAGGGCATCATTTCAGGAGTATTTTAGGCCTTAGAATAGTCAAAATGTCTCATTTTCCCAGTTAAATTCAAGATTGTGACCTCTAAGGGTATCTGTACAAATCTTGGGAAAATTAGGGAAGTTTTAAGGCTGAGATGCAGTTTTTGGGAAGCTGGTGTGAATTCCAGCTAAGAGAGGGGGTGTTTTTATGAAAAACTAAGCACAGGAGGGCGCCTCCTATATGCTAAACCCAGAATGACGTCCCTCCTACTGTATTAGTATACTCCCCTCTCCCTAGCAAACCCTAGGGCGCCTCTCCACTCATTCTTTTCATCTCTAACAAACCCTAGCCGCCCTAATTGCTAAATCCTCACCTTCCATCCCTTCCTAACATCTAATCTCCACCCTCCATTCTAGGGCACCCTCTTTTGAGTGCATTTTAACCCTAGGGCGCCACCTAACTTCTAATCCTCACCATTCAGCCTTTAGCCACTAGATCTCAACCCTCTATTTCACTCTCTATCTCGGCCATTCACCCTAAGGCACCACTCACTCCTTTTAATCTCCACCTTTTAGTCCTAGGCGCCTAAATCTCCACCATCTAATTCTGGGTGCCCAAATCTCAACCCTACATAATATTGGGTGCCCTCTCATTCTCTTCTCACCCTTAGGATCACCTTTGAATAATCCTAACCCTCCATTCTAAACCTTAGGGCGCCCATATTTCTGCTAAAATCCAACTGCCACCCCCATCTTTCTCTCTAATCCCAGTTTTATCCACTCTTCTCTAAAAAGGACCCAAGGGGTCCTAAGAAGGGGTTGGATTCTGCCCCCAAGTAAGACGAAAGGTTGTTCTTGAGAAGTTCAAAGGTAGAGGAAGAGGAGAACGCCCAGGCAAGAGGAAGGGTTCCTGTTTGTAGTTCGCCTAGCCACTACTGCCACTTCTGAATTCGAATCCCAACCAATTTTCCATTAGTTTCGGATTTACTTTCTGTTCTTTAATTTACAATCCTTATTTTCATTCTTGCAATTTACTTTTATCTAGTTTAATTTTTGTCTTCCTTTCTGTAGATCTGAAATTCGACTAGGTAAGACGGAAGGCTTAGCTCAAAAAGTTCGAGGGTCAAAGGATAGATCTGAAGACTGCTACCTCTGACCGAGTTGCAGACTTTTTATTCACACGCATTTTCATAATCTCCTTCAGGTGAAAAACCAAATATTCAGTGTATGTAGTACTGTAGTAGGGGGCATTTATGTCATTTTTTCAACCCCTATAAGCAAGACTCCCAACGACTATTTTCTCAGGCGGGCCGAGCGCGGCCCATTATGGGCCTGGCAGATCATGCCATGTCGGCCCATGGTAGGCCATGCTTCGTGCCATGCCGCGGGCTGGGCCATGCTGGCACGTGGCCGTGCTATACCGGCCCAAGGGCCTCAAACCCCCAGCCCAACACAACACGGACCTCCGTGCCGGGCCTAGCACGACCCATTAGCCTTCGTGCTAGACCGGGCTGGGCCGGTCCAATTTTACATCTCTATCCATTGATATCTATCAAAAACTATCTGGTCCATTGATATAAGATAAGAATATATGTGTCAATAGACTGGGTTTGGGTTGAAACCAATCTAAATAAAAATGAATTTGAACAGATGAACGGTCCAGATATTAAATTGAATTGGTCCAAATTGATCCAAAACATTCATTAGATTGGATTGGACCTGGTCCATTTATAATGGACTCACATTGGACTGGATTGGATTGGACCAAATCCAGTCCAATTGACACCCTTACATGCTTTAAACCAATCATTAACTTTTTGGTCACTATTTAATTGATTGGATCTTTCGTTAAAAAAGCTACCACACCAAGCTGCTGTGGTACCAACTCTTGCATCTCCACACTGCAAACATGAGCTTGAAGATGCTATATCCTTTTGAAATATTTGTTGCCAGTTTTGAAGGAATACAAATACAAATATGTAGAGTGCAAAGTCTTGAATTTTGTATCATCTTGTATGTATTTGTACTGTACATATTTGCATTCATACTCTTTTCAAACTGAGCCAAAGTAGGCCGAGAACATGGAAAACTTGTCCTTTCAGTCAACAGTCCAAATGAGTTCATCATTGATAAAACTTTCTTGGCGTATACTTTGTAAAAATGATGTGAATTGATGTTGATTCCAATATCTATTCACCATCAATGAGGTCTATAACTAGATTTCTGAAGGTTATGTTTGGTTTGAAGGAAAAGGTAGGGAAAGGAAGGGAAAGGTAGGGAAACCCATACAAGGTTTGTAAAGGTTTCCCTACCTTTTCCTTCAAACCAAACACAATGCAAAGGAAGATAGAACCCGCTTTTTAGGGAAAACACAAACTTTAGCATGTAATGAAATAAGAACAAATAATTCTTAATATAATGGTAATGACATGGTCATCAAATCATTCGAGTGAAGTAATCATTCTCAATTCAATTATTAGTAAAAGAAAGTTAGAAACAAGCCTGTTTTTCACTTTTCAGTCCCCCCCCCCCTTCTTTTTTCTTCACCACTCTTCTCCACAGACTGTCATTATATGATTTGTCGGAGTTCACCAGTAAGTAATGCATACTTTCTGTGCTGTGATAAGATGGAAGGTACTTTAATTGCTTCTATCCTTGATAATAAATCTGTACCAGTAGAACCTGCATTCTTATTAGTTGCATGGAGAACTGTTTGCAAGATTTGAAGAGGATCACCATGGCTGACAACCAAGATGGCACATCTGCACATGCCAAAATAATTAAAAGTTAATATGTATCAAGAAACAAGACATACAAAGTGGATGAAGAAGATGGACAACCAGGGCATCGGGTCACTAATAAAAGTATCAGCTTATATAACAGTATAACACTGTCAGGTGTGTGCTTGCATTATCTTGGATTCACCCTCTTTATAGGGAAAAAAGAAGATGATTTTAAATTAAGTAGGATGAATGCAGTTGTGTTAAAACATGAAATATAGAGGTGTTAAGTAGGATTCACCCAATGCTGCTCCCAGCAATCTAGGGTCTTGGGACTTGGAAGGGGTGGATTGGATAAAGACCTGATCTATGGCATTTTATTATGCACAAAGTGGTCATTCTCAGATTCAAACCTGCATTCTCATGCTTGTCAGCTTGAGGTTTTACCATTCCATCAAGTGATGGCCCCCCTCAACAAGAGCTTCATTAAGATAATGAAAAATAAAATGAAATTAACAAGAGCTTCATTAGGTTTGCATTTCCTTCCCCTCCTAACCTGACAACTTTTATGATATCGTTCAACTGGTTCATCAATGGATCAATAGTAAATACATTTTTTAATAGTACAAAAGAAGGGGACATCTTAAAATTGAACATATTACCTCTGTTTAAGTCTTTGAGGAAAATGTATTAGCTTCTAGATCAGTTCCATTCCTTTTTTTAATCATTATTACCAACTTACCATAACTACAATACTACATATAGGTTAAATAAAGGGTGAAAGTGAAATAGGTTAAACCATAGCAGTTGTAAGGAAACAAGAACAATTACCCTCTTCAAACAAGATTTTTTTTGTAAGGAAACAAGAACAATTACCCTTCAAACTCTGCCTCCATGGTTATTATAGCAGTTGTAAGTCGATAAACAACATCTGCAACACTTTCTCCACAATCTGGCCGCATGAATGGATCTTTTTCATCCAGAGCCCATATTTCTGCATACTGTTGACACACAGAAAAGAAAAAAAAAAGGAAGAAAAAAACCATGAAGCGAAGTGGATTTGAACTCCAAAGGGCACAAAAGACTATGGGCAAACTGCCCTAACATTATAGTTATGGCTCATCACACAATGGGCCATACGAAATTGGTAGCCAATGGCCCAATGCCCGAAAGATGTGCCATCATATGTATTCTAGGATAAGTTTGGGAAGAGTGCAAATACAAGGTTTAGAAATACCATATACAAGGTTTTGCTCTGAACCTATTTGTATTTGCACTCTTCCCAAACTGAGCCCTAAGGACATAAAGTACATATGAAACCCTTCGTTTGGTGTTCCTTTACTTTCTCTATAAACTAGGAGGAAGTAAACCAAAAAGAATACTTACTTTATCATGTGAGTTAAGTTCAAAGGAAGGACCAAAGTAACGTTCTCTGAGTTCTTCCACAATCTACCCAAGCAGATTACCAACATCAGAGGGAGAAGGGAAAAAAAAGCTGAGCAACTTTGTTGAGAAGAATCAAATTTCCACCAAAAGATTAATGAATGCTTAAATGGGAATAATGATCTTAGATGTTCACTAAGTTGGCTCTATGGCGAACTACTCATATTTACATTTAGGAAATTGTTGGCCTTGAGATCATATTCTTCCTTTTATATCTTCCCAGGTTTGAGAAGATAAGATATCCATTAAGTATTCATATGCAAAAGAATGGAACCAGAATACCTAACAGCCTACTGATCACCTAAGGCAAGCATTGATACAATAAGGTTCTTCTTTAACCATCTAACTGATGTCCATTTTTGTTTTTTGGGGGGAGCGGTACATTTTTCATAGTATAATCTGTCTAATGGAATCTTTTAGATAATTTTAGATCATATTTTTAGATTATTCAATGATGTCAGATTTTGGCCTTGGAGAAGAGATATACATATGGATCCATTGGATATACACCACATTCTTGATAGTCATCAAATAGGCATCGTTAGATTTCTTCCTATCATGTTTCCTTGCAATAAAAACTACCATTGAGAAAATTCTTATTTTTTGCAGCAAAAAGCAAGAATAGCTAACCTTACATCGAGGACCTTCAAATGGAAGATTCAAAATAGAAGCAACAACCTTAGCAGTATGAGTTGTTCTTGAAAATGGAGAATAGCAAATCCGGACATTTTCAAGCGGTATGTTGTTTTCTTTAAGTTCCTGCAGATGTGATACAGCTTAAATGTTAATAACAAAATGGTTATCAACTTCTCTGATAGAAAAACACTTGGAGATGGACAAGTAGCAATGCTGACCTCTAATTATGAATATCTGCTGCAATTTCTGTGTGCCTCTTAATACATGGCTAACGATTGGATATAATTTAATCCTACCATCTCTCACTTAGTATAAACTTGTACAAGGCCAAACCAACTGTTATGAAAGTCTATAGAAAACCAATTGCATGCCATGCATTTGGAAAGTGGACTTATGCAAGTATTGTGGTACTCCAATTATGGTCAAGGAATTATTACAGTTTCAATGTGTAAAACAATCTGTGCGAAGTGAAGCATCTGATACAATGGTATCAACTAGCCGGCTTGCATGCAACCATATTACCCAATATAAGTCCTAGTTATCCAGGGCCTTGGGAGGAATGGACTAGATAGGGACCTAACCTCTGGCACTTTTTACATTCACATTGCACCAAGCAATGACTCCCTCCTGTTTAATACCAGACTTATAATTTCATATCATCTTAACCATCTTGGTCATATCTGAGGTCCCATTTAACTCTAAAATGACCATCTTTAACAACTACTATGTGTCTTTGTTGGGAACCAAGGCCCAGACCCAAACCCAAGGCCCAGGCCTCCACTTACTCGCACCTACCTGAGGAAGAAGGTACGCAAGCAGTTTCAGCACCCACCTGCAGCAAGCAACACATCAGCTGGTCCCTCTGCATGAATTTGTTAGAGCTCGGAGTTTGTCGAGATATTTTGTAACTGAAACCATTATAAGTATGGGTTGGCGGAATGAATTAAGTATGCAAAAATTGAATCCTCTCTCTCTCTCTCTCTCTCTCTCTATCTATCTCTATCTCTATCTCTATCTCTTCATTTCTGCTTAGGAGAAAGGGTCTCCCTCGAAGAGACTCCTAAGGTGAGCAGCAACTCATCAATTGGTATCAGAGCCAGGTCGGCTAACTTGAACGATCGAAGATGACCAACACCCAATCGGTGATGCTGGATGAGAGCGTGGACAAGATCGAAGTCGATCTCCACCAAGTGGTCACGGGGCTTAAGGAGATCAAGGAAGCCATGCCAGTAATTGCACCTCAGAAGGAGAAAGCTTCTCCCGCTGCCGGCCGAGAAAGTGACTATGAAGAATCCAACTGGGGCAGCAGCAGAAGGGGAAATTACGTTCCACAAAGAATCACCAAACTGGATTTCCCAACGTTCTACGGGGGAGATCCGATTCCTTGGATCTTCAAGGCCGAGAAGTATTTTGAGTATCATGATGTACAGGGACTCCAGCGTGTGACCATCGCCTCTTTTCATCTGGAAGGGGAGGTGATTTTGTGGTTTTAGTGGTTCCGGTGCTCCCATCCCCAAATCTCATGGCAATAATTCACGGAGGCGTTGTGCATACGATTTGATCCTACTGGGTACAACGACTATGATGAGATGCTATCCTGGGTAAAACAGACAGGAACGGTACGAGACTACCAAATTGAGTTTGAACGACTAGCCACCAAAGTATATGGGTGGCCGGAGAAGACGTTGGTCGGTTTCTTTGTCGAAGGATTGAGAGATGACATCAAAGTAGAGGTGAAGGCCCTTCAGCCCACTTCTCTATCTGCAGCGGCAGGACTGGCAAGGTTGCAAGAGGAGCGACTCGACCGACTAAGGAAGGTGATGACTCGACCATTCGGGCCCCTGTTAAAAACCCCATCCCGCCAAGATGGGCTTCTCCCTCGCCCCATGACAGAACCCAGCCGAACTGTTGGGGAACCCACTTGGCCCACCCAAGGACCCGCACCACCAACTAAGAGCCCTATCCCCTTCAAACCCTCTCCTAGGCTGAAATGCAGGCCCAGCGTGAGAAGGGCCTGTGCTACAATTGTGATGAGAAATTTGGGCCTGGCCACCGATGCAAAACCTTCTTGCTACAATGGGAGGAGACTGGAGAGGAAGGTGAGGAGGAACTAGCTGAGGAGGAAAGGGAACCAAACAGTACTCAATACGACAACCCCGAGATCTCTCTGCAAACTTTGACAGGGCTGACATCCCCCAAATCTATGAGGGTTGAAGGGAAGCTCAGAGGCCATCGGGTATCCGTACTCATAGATAGTGGAAGCACACTGAATTTTATCACACAAGTATTGGCTCGCCAACTAGGTATGATAGTTCTCTACACCTCTCCATTTGCTATTAGAGTGGCGGATGGTAACCACATTGAATGTGAAAGTATTTGCAAACATGAAAAGCTGGTAATCCAAGACCACACTTTCACCGTGGACTTGCATCCATTGGATTTCAGCGAGGCCGATGTAGTGTTGGGTGTACAATGGCTAAGCCAACTGGGCCCGATCCTTTGTGATTGGGGACATATGACCATGGACTTCTATTGCGATGGGCTCCGCTGCCATCTGCAAGGTCAAGAGGTACCCAGCCCACTAGTGGAAGGTCTACACTCCATGCTAAAAGGGGGGTTTGGAAAAGAACACCTACTGCTGATGCAGATGGGCCCAGTGCCTATTGGGCCTTTACTAAGGCTAGAAAATGAGGTCTGATCATCTAAGAAGGACCAAGATGACATATAAAAGGTGATAGGCCAATTTCCAGAAGTCTTTAGAAACCCAGACCAGCTTCCTCCAAACCGGTTCCAAGACCACTGCATGCCTCTAATTCCAGGGGCAGCCCCTACTAACGTGCGGCCCTACAGATACCTGCATTTCCAAAAGACTGAGATTGAGAGGCTCGTGAAGGAGCTCCTGCACAAGGGATGGATACAGCCTAGTACAAGCCCATTTTCGTCCCCAGTGCTCCTTGTAAAGAAGAAAGATGGGTCCTGGCATTTTTGTGTAGATTACCGGGCCTTGAACCATATCACAGTCAAGGATAAGCTCCCGATCCCGGTTGTGGATGAGCTATTAGATGAGCTGGGGCAAGCCAAGTATTTTTCCAAAATGGACCTCCAGTCCAGCTATCACCAAGTTCAGGTCCACTCTGAAGATGTATACAAGACAGCCTTCAGAACCCATGATGGACACTATGAGTTCCTAGTTATGCCGTTTGGGCTGTCCAACGCACCTTCTACCTTTTAGGCCATCATGAATGATGTCTTCAGGCCTTACCTCCGGCGTTTTATTTTGGTCTTCTTTGATGACATTCTGGTATACAGCAAGGATTGGAATTCACACCTCCAACACTTGGAACAAACATTGAGCTTGCTGAAACAGCATCAACTGTTTGCCAAGCTTTCAAAGTGTGTTTTTGGGCAGATTGAAGTCCATTATTTGGGCCATGTGATTGCAGCTGGACGGGTCATGGCTGACCCAGAAAAAATAAATTGTATACAAGACTGGCCCACGCCCAAAACAGTCAAAGCCCTACGCAGGTTTTTGGGCCTTACCGGCTACTACCGGAGGTTCATATGCAACTATGGGTCACTAGCAGCCCCATTAACTGGGCTTCTCAAAAAAGACTGATTTGTTTGGACGGAGCAGGCCCAGAAGGCTTTTGATTCTCTCAAGCAGGCCATGATCAGCCCACCAGTCCTAACCTTACCAAATTTTGAAGAGACCTTCGTGGTTGAATGTGATGCATCAGGTGTGGGAGTTGGAGTGGTGCTCATGCAAAATGGAAGGCCCATATCTTATTTCAGCAAGGCCCTCTCCACTAGAGCCCAGAATCAGTCAACATATACAAAGGAGCTTATGGAAATAGTACTGGCAGTCCATAAATGGCGACCATACTTGTTGGGTCGAAGGTTCATAATCCGGACGGATCAGAGAAGATTGAAGTATATATTGGACCAAAAAGCTCTCACCCCAGATCAGCAAAAATGGATAATGAAATTAATGGGCTTGATTTCTTAATCGAATACAAGCCTGGAGTCACCAACAGAGCTGCGGATGCATTGTCTCGGAAGGTTGATTTGTCACTGTTAGTACACTCTCAGCCCCATTACACTCTATATGAAGCTCTACGAGAGGAGGTCTGAAATGACCCTAGCCTTGAAAAGGTGCGGCAAAGCTATTTGCAAGACCCCACCTCTACACCGGGGTACACCATGAAGGGATCAGACTTGTTTTTTAAAGGAAGATTTGTCCTCACTCCTACTTCAACGCATCAGAAGACCTTGCTAGAGTTCTATCATGATTCGGTGGACATTCAGGTGTTTTTCGGACCTATTAGAGGTTATCTTCACATTTTTATTGGCCCAACATGAGGAAGGCAGTCGAGCAACACGTAGCACAATGTACAGTATGCCAGCAGCAAAAGTACTCAGCCCAATCCCCTCCTGGGCACCTGCAACCCCTCCCAATTCCATCTCAGATTTGGGAAGATATACCCCTGGACTTCATCACTGGTCTTCCATCTTTTGGGGGCAAGACGGTGATTTTGATGGTGGTCAACAGGCTCTCTAAGTATGGGCACTTCATTGCCCTATCCCATCCATACACCACAACTTCAGTAGCTGAAACCTTCATCAAAGAGGGGACAAGACTCCATGGTATCCCCAAATCGATCGTCTCAGGTTGGGATCCGGCCTTCCTCAGTTAGTTCTGGAAGGAGTATTTCTGTTTACAGGGGGCAATGCTTCATCGATCTACTAGCTATCAACCCCAATCCGACAGACAGACTGAAGTGCTGAATAGATGCTTGGAAACTTATCTACATTGTTTTGTGGGTTCCAAGCCCAAACATTGGACAAAGTGGCTTCCATGGGCCGAATACTGGTACAACACTACATTCCAGGCGGCAGCAGGCATGACACCATTCAAAGCCGTGTATGGAAGGGAACCACCCCACATCCTTCCATATGAAATGGGTTCAACCGCAGTAGCAGAAGTTGAAGCCCAGTTACTGGCACGAGATGAGGTACTCAGCTTCCTGAAGGAGAATTTGCACAAGGCCCAACAACTCATGAAGAAACAGTATGACAAAAAACATCGGGTCATTGACTTTCAGGTGGGGGACTACGTCTACCTCAAGCTACAGTCCTATCGATAGTCCTCAGTAGAAAAAAGGGCCTAGCATAAGCTCTCTCCTCGCTACTTTGGGCAGTTCAAGATAATTGAGAAGATAGGCAATGTTGCCTACCGACTGGACCTTCCCAAAACAGCTCGTCTCCACCCAGTTTTTCACATCTCCTTGCTTAAGAAATCGGTGGGAGATACAACCAAAGTTAGCAGCAGCCTCCCAACATTTACAGAGGAAGGAGACATTACCCTCACACCCGCCAAGATATTGGATTACCGTTGGGTCCATCGTGGAAAGAACATAGTGCAAGAAGCCTTAGTAACTTGGACTGGGCTTCCCCTTCATGACTCCATGTGGGAACAGTATTGGCAGCTAAAAAATCAATTCACAGATTTGCACCTTGAGGACAAGGCCCATCTTGAGGGAGGGGGAACTGTTGGGAACCAAGGCCCAGACCCAAACCCGAGGCCCAGGCCTCCACTTACTTGCACCTACCCGAGGAAGAAGGCGCGCAAGCAGTTTCAGCACCCAACTGCAGCAAGCAACACGTCAGCTGGGTCCCTCTGCATGAATTTGTTAGAGCTCAGAGTTTGTTGAGATATTTTGTAACTGAAACCATTATAAGTATGGGTTGGCCGAATGAATGAAGTATGCAAAAATTGAATCCTCTCTCTCTCTTTCTCTCTTTCTCTCTTTTTCTCTTTGGAGGAAGGGTCTCCCTCGAAGAGACTCCTAAGGTGAGCAGCAACTCATCAGTCTTGCCTATCTTTGTTATGTGTATGTGGTGTTCTGCTAGTTGTTCCAAGCAATAAGGCAGAGGAGCACCTAAGATATCTCCCAAGCAGAAATCTTTAATAATCCTAAGCATCCTAAGCAGAAATTCTACATTCAAATCCTTCTGTACACTGATTTGCATACGGGAAAGCCCAAAGTGAAGACATGCTTGTATTTTATTTTATGTTAAGAAACATGTATCAAATAACAAGTTCGGTCTCATGTAAAGAGGCAGTGCAAAAGGAATGCACCCAGAACAAGCTGATATCTATATATATATATATATATATATATGAAAAACTACAACAAAGGTCCATGAGAAGCAGCTGAAAACAATGGTTAGATGATAAAAGTAGGTTTGCCAAACTAGAAAAAAATGGAGCATGCGTTACATTGAAGAAACATATGAAAATTGAAAAAAAAATCTAAATTATGTTTGGACACTGCACTTTGACATCTGTTCAAAAAGACATCTTAGACCAGGCATTCTCCAAACAAAAGCAATTACCTTTTTAAATGCTTCTCCTGCTATTTGTGCTTGATTAACACCTTCTGAAGCCAATTGATATTCATTAAGCATGCCATTTTCCTGTTTAAGATATTGGTAACTTGTTAATAAAATAACTAGAAGAAAATTCTTAAGACATGGATCTAGATGAAATTTTGAAGAGATTCTGAAGAAAATTAATAAAAAAATTAAACAATGACATTAGAAACCATCCAGATGGACATTTATTTAAACAAAGTAGAAAAGTTAAATTCATATAATTATCTTTCAGCGAAGAAATACAAGTGCTCACTGATATTTAGACTTGAATTGCCCTTAAAACCAGTACTTCGAGAAAAGTAAAAAAGAAAAGTGATCACTGTCCAACAGGTTTGAATTTCAAGTGTGATGATTAATCTATAAGATATTTTTCAGCTATCCCCTAGGTCTAAGCAGGCAAACACTGAAGTTCATATCAACATTGTAATGGACTGCCCTATCTCTGAAAAAAAAAATATGACGAAACCAGCATACAACCACTCTATTACTCTTTACACAAATTATGGATACCAACAAACAATTATCACTGACCAAAAAGAAAAAATAAAAAAAAATAAAAGGATGGAAAAGGCCTAATAAGTACCAAGAGCACACTGCCTGCTAGTGGAGTTGAACAATAAATTAAAATAATGAAACAAGTAATCCATTGAATTTCTTCTATTTCTTGTTGAGGTGTTATCTTCATTTCTTTTATAACTTTGCAAATGGTATTGACTCTCCAATGGAACATAATAGTAAGGCTCCACTTATTTTGATGTAAAGTGGGATGGAAGAAAGAAAGTTTATTCTGTATAAATTCTTTCTGGTATTTGGTTAGAGTTAAGACAAAACCCAAAGGAAAAAATGTAAAAGGTTTCAGTGGGTACCGTTATTTTATGCCCAAACTCCATAAACTGGGAACCAAATCTTTCAATGGTGGATCTCGATTCACAGGTGTTTATGGTAATTATAATTGGGAACGCTTACAGACATAGATATAGAACCCGGTCTGTGCAAATGGTAGTATAAGTGCCTTTGATTGCAATGTTGCATCTTCAAGATTGATGTAGTACAGTTTCTTATAAGGATCGAGTTTCTTCTAAACTATTCCTACCATTTCACTGTTCATTTCACTCTGATAAAAAAACAGAAGAACTTGGGCTGGAATTTTTTGTTTAACATTTTGGAGTTTCTTATCTATTCCCTCTATCCCTCGGACTAGTTCTACAAGGAAACAAAAGGAGCCTAAAAGTGAAAATTTTATTTTATTTTTTCTTTTGGTGAGACTTTTTTTTCGAGAAATGATAACTTCTATTAGAAAAAGAAAGAGCAGTATATGAGATGATGTACGAAAGGCAAAAGGAAAAGCAAGTAAACTCCTCAAAGATTACAAATGCATGGTTAGATTTACAAGAAATACAATCACAAGAAGAGATAAATATAGCCTAAATGAACATTGCCAACCCTGACGAAAAACTGCAGGTTTCTGCCTCCCCTGCAAGTTGAAAAAACTTATCCCCTTCTCAGTTACTTATACATTCAACCAAATACAACACTCGAATTGACGTCCAAACACCAAAACGACCAATAACCATGGATTTAAGATACCTGCATAGACATTTCGATCTATGCGACAACCAACACTTAACTTCCCCTCCTCCCCTCTATGTTGCTTACATACTGCAAGGTCATCTAACCTCCTTATGAGATGTCTACATCTAAACAAAACAGAAGATTTCAAAAACCCAAATGTCTATTGTTCTTAACGTGGAAATATGTAGTCTAATGTATCCATTTCTAGTCGATAATCGATGTTCTAAATTTCAAAGGATAAAATCCTTCCAAAACAAAAGAAAACAACAGGCAAGAATGAAATACCAACCATGGAACAAACGATAAGGCCTCTTTCGTTGGGAATACTTTTACCATGTCTCAGAACCCAGTATCTATTTCGGAGGAAAGAGAAGTTCTCCATTTCTCACTGCCCAAAATGTTGGAGACTTGGGGGTTTTATAATTTTTCGTTACGATCGGGCTTCTCGCTCGCTCTCGCTCTCTCGCTCTGTTAGTTTATTACTGTTATATTTTCACCAAAAAAGGGTAAATTACAAGATACCCTTTTGTACTATGGGGTCTGTGACAAAGATCCCTTGTATTATTGATCGTGAAACAAAGACCCTCTTCCGTTAATTTTCTGTTAAAATCAGCCGTTACAATCGTTGCAATATTTTTTAATCCTCATACTATTCCTGTAATAAATACAACTCTTGTAATAATTATTTAAAAAAAAATGCTGTTCATCTTCCCCGGCTTACGATAGAACAGCAGCGACACGGTAATCACTTCTACCTCAGATTTTGGTAACGGTGGTAACTCCCCTCGTTAATTTACAACTTCCTCTGCTGGTCGCTGCTGTGTGTTGATTGATAGATTATCGATGTCTCTCCTCACCAAAAGAAGCAGCAACACCTATGAGAAATTCAAATTTTCCCTTCTCGCCTTTTCACTCTTTTTTGCTCTAAGAACATCACATGACGCAGCTGCAGCAACAAGGGACACAATAATAAAAGAGGGTGAAGGGGTTCAGGATTGGGATCACTTGAAGTCTGCAAGTGGAATTTTCAGACTGGGATTTTCCGGTCCGAGTGCTTCAAGGAACCGCTACCTGGGTATTTCCTACAACAAAGCTCGAGATGCGACCGTTGTCTGGGTTGCCAATCGAAATAACCCAATTGCCGATTCCTCCGGTCTTCTTACGATSGACGGCGACGGAAAATTGAAAATCACACACAGTGGAGGCAGTGCTATTATGTTATATTCCAAACAGACCGCCGGTAACGTGACAACTACTCTATTGGACTCGGGAAATTTTGTTCTGAGGGAGGTCGATTCTAATGGAACTGCAACACGGGTATTGTGGCAGAGCTTCGATTATCCCACG